TATGCTTTAACCCAGTTGTATTACTCATTTGTGAACTCTGAATCTACAGAAAATAAGATTATCTCAGACAATATGTGCAAAATGTGTTGTATAAATGACCCTCGTGTAACGGCCTGTTTGGATCAAGTTAAATGTGAGGACCTAGGTACATAAAAGTTGAAGTCCATAATAAAGATTTCACTAAATTTGTATTAAAAGCACTTCACAATGTCTTTTGTACCTGTTTCATTTCACATAGTATCTTTCTTTTCTTATGTTAAATAGCAAGTGGTTCAAATATAAGCCTGCTGAGGCTAAAATTGCATGCGAGTTTTTCACTAAAAAGTGAAAAATCTTTGTATCAGACCATACTGTCTGCAAAAAAAGTAGAATGCAAGAGTCCCTTTATGCTCAGATTTATTGTATCATGTAACCTGAGTATAGAAATTATAAAAGAGACACAAATTTTTATTTCCTATAGCTTCAGTATGCATTTTTAAATGTAAATATGTGCTACGGCCTAAATTGACCCTAAATTATTTTCAGTCTTACTTGGCTTAAGACCCTTTTATACTAATATGGTATGCTATTTGTAATTTTTCTTTCCATTTAAAGTACATTTAATACATATGTAAGGATTATTTATAACCAAAAAACTCCACAAATTTAAAATTGCTGGAAAATAATACATCTTCATGTAAGGCCCCCCTTCATTGGAAAACCTCCATTTTTTGGCACAGGCTCATATAAATTTGACTTTTAAATAATTGTGATAAGTCTGATAAATCAAATGAGTATTCTATTGCTTTAAATACATAATATGTCATATATAAAGCCCTTTAAAATGTAATTTTTTGCAATATTTTAATTTTTAAAGCCCCAAATGTTGATAGTTGAAATTTTTCAATTTAAACGTCAAAATTTAACACGCGAAGTTGAATATAGAATTTATCATATTGTCTATAATATATATCCTATTGCCATGAAACTTTGTCAGCAGTCTCATAATTTATTAAGCTTTAGTCATACCAAGTTTTATTAAGATTGGTCAAATTTTTCTATCCTATTAGGCGAAATCAGTAAATATAGAATCTGTACTTTGGCAACTTCCCTGAATGATTTAATGGTGTCAATTTGTCAGATAGCATGAAACTAAAGGATTTAAACTTTTATTTGATAGAAATTCTGCAAAAATTACCCATTTTGGCATTATATGGTCAAAATAAGCATTTCAAAGCTTTTTCAATTTTGATGCATAAGTGGCATTCTGACTTTCTATGTGACAGGTTTTCCTGTGTCAATATTTGTGTTTCTATGCTTTAACCCAGTTGTATTACTCATTTGTGAACTCTGAATCTACAGAAAATAAGATTATCTCAGACAATATGTGCAAAATGTGTTGTATAAATGACCCTCGTGTAACGGCCTGTTTGGATCAAGTTAAATGTGAGGACCTAGGTACATAAAAGTTGAAGTCCATAATAAAGATTTCACTAAATTTGTATTAAAAGCACTTCACAATGTCTTTTGTACCTGTTTCATTTCACATAGTATCTTTCTTTTCTTATGTTAAATAGCAAGTGGTTCAAATATAAGCCTGCTGAGGCTAAAATTGCATGCGAGTTTTTCACTAAAAAGTGAAAAATCTTTGTATCAGACCATACTGTCTGCAAAAAAAGTAGAATGCAAGAGTCCCTTTATGCTCAGATTTATTGTATCATGTAACCTGAGTATAGAAATTATAAAAGAGACACAAATTTTTATTTCCTATAGCTTCAGTATGCATTTTTAAATGTAAATATGTGCTACGGCCTAAATTGACCCTAAATTATTTTCAGTCTTACTTGGCTTAAGACCCTTTTATACTAATATGGTATGCTATTTGTAATTTTTCTTTCCATTTAAAGTACATTTAATACATATGTAAGGATTATTTATAACCAAAAAACTCCACAAATTTAAAATTGCTGGAAAATAATACATCTTCATGTAAGGCCCCCCTTCATTGGAAAACCTCCATTTTTTGGCACAGGCTCATATAAATTTGACTTTTAAATAATTGTGATAAGTCTGATAAATCAAATGAGTATTCTATTGCTTTAAATACATAATATGTCATATATAAAGCCCTTTAAAATGTAATTTTTTGCAATATTTTAATTTTTAAAGCCCCAAATGTTGATAGTTGAAATTTTTCAATTTAAACGTCAAAATTTAACACGCGAAGTTGAATATAGAATTTATCATATTGTCTATAATATATATCCTATTGCCATGAAACTTTGTCAGCAGTCTCATAATTTATTAAGCTTTAGTCATACCAAGTTTTATTAAGATTGGTCAAATTTTTCTATCCTATTAGGTCCGAGTACACAGTTATCGTCCTTTGATTTTCGTTGTCCACGAATAAAGTCCCTAGTGTGGACAGTGTGTTGCTTGCCAATTTTTTTAGTACCCCTTCCAAATGTATTCCTTCATGTTTTATGCCTCAAATAGCAAGTAGGGGGATGAAATTACACTGTAAAAAAATTTGGGTCATGAATTGTAAAGTAAAGTAGTGATTTGGTCCAGCTGAAAAAGGTTAAAAATTAGCACTTCGGAAGCTGTCAAAAGATTTCAAGACCCCCTTAACATAGAATTGTCCATATTTTGAGTTAGAGCCGATGAAGTTTTCTATAATTTTGATATAATTTGTCCAAAAAGTAGTACAACACACTGTAAAAATATTATTGAGAAAGCGCAGGTGGGATTTTTTTTATTTTCATTTATTGTCTAAAAGAAATGCACTACGAAATAACTGTGTACTCGGACCTAAGAGGCGAAATCAGTAAATATAGAATCTGTACTTTGGCAACTTCCCTGAATGATTTAATGGTGTCAATTTGTCAGATAGCATGAAACTAAAGGATTTAAACTTTTATTTGATAGAAATTCTGCAAAAATTACCCATTTTGGCATTATATGGTCAAAATAAGCATTTCAAAGCTTTTTCAATTTTGATGCATAAGTGGCATTCTGACTTTCTATGTGACAGGTTTTCCTGTGTCAATATTTGTGTTTCTATGCTTTAACCCAGTTGTATTACTCATTTGTGAACTCTGAATCTACAGAAAATAAGATTATCTCAGACAATATGTGCAAAATGTGTTGTATAAATGACCCTCGTGTAACGGCCTGTTTGGATCAAGTTAAATGTGAGGACCTAGGTACATAAAAGTTGAAGTCCATAATAAAGATTTCACTAAATTTGTATTAAAAGCACTTCACAATGTCTTTTGTACCTGTTTCATTTCACATAGTATCTTTCTTTTCTTATGTTAAATAGCAAGTGGTTCAAATATAAGCCTGCTGAGGCTAAAATTGCATGCGAGTTTTTCACTAAAAAGTGAAAAATCTTTGTATCAGACCATACTGTCTGCAAAAAAAGTAGAATGCAAGAGTCCCTTTATGCTCAGATTTATTGTATCATGTAACCTGAGTATAGAAATTATAAAAGAGACACAAATTTTTATTTCCTATAGCTTCAGTATGCATTTTTAAATGTAAATATGTGCTACGGCCTAAATTGACCCTAAATTATTTTCAGTCTTACTTGGCTTAAGACCCTTTTATACTAATATGGTATGCTATTTGTAATTTTTCTTTCCATTTAAAGTACATTTAATACATATGTAAGGATTATTTATAACCAAAAAACTCCACAAATTTAAAATTGCTGGAAAATAATACATCTTCATGTAAGGCCCCCCTTCATTGGAAAACCTCCATTTTTTGGCACAGGCTCATATAAATTTGACTTTTAAATAATTGTGATAAGTCTGATAAATCAAATGAGTATTCTATTGCTTTAAATACATAATATGTCATATATAAAGCCCTTTAAAATGTAATTTTTTGCAATATTTTAATTTTTAAAGCCCCAAATGTTGATAGTTGAAATTTTTCAATTTAAACGTCAAAATTTAACACGCGAAGTTGAATATAGAATTTATCATATTGTCTATAATATATATCCTATTGCCATGAAACTTTGTCAGCAGTCTCATAATTTATTAAGCTTTAGTCATACCAAGTTTTATTAAGATTGGTCAAATTTTTCTATCCTATTAGGTCCGAGTACACAGTTATCGTCCTTTGATTTTCGTTGTCCACGAATAAAGTCCCTAGTGTGGACAGTGTGTTGCTTGCCAATTTTTTTAGTACCCCTTCCAAATGTATTCCTTCATGTTTTATGCCTCAAATAGCAAGTAGGGGGATGAAATTACACTGTAAAAAAATTTGGGTCATGAATTGTAAAGTAAAGTAGTGATTTGGTCCAGCTGAAAAAGGTTAAAAATTAGCACTTCGGAAGCTGTCAAAAGATTTCAAGACCCCCTTAACATAGAATTGTCCATATTTTGAGTTAGAGCCGATGAAGTTTTCTATAATTTTGATATAATTTGTCCCAAAAGTAGTACAACACACTGTAAAAATATTATTGAGAAAGCGCAGGTGGGATTTTTTTTATTTTCATTTATTGTCTAAAAGAAATGCACTACGAAATAACTGTGTACTCGGACCAAGTACTATTTTCATTTTGCATAATATTATTTGATCCACGTAGAAAATATCTCTGTGGAAGGTAAATCTTCAAAATAAACTGAATTGTTAACACCAAAAATCAGCCCTGACTTTTAAATATAAATATTTTGAGCATCTATTGTATTAAACAAAGTTACAAGATAAAAATGTTAACTATGTCAATGCCAATATGCGCATTTCAGATTTGTTGAGTTGTTTGATTATCAAAATTATTTGCTACCTCACAGGCGTATTCATAGTGTACGCATTCAACCTTTTCGAATGCGCTTTTGATGCTTCTTATAGACCTAACTCGTCGGGGTTTTTTTCCGTAATCACAAGTTGTCTCACTTATAAATACACCGCCTCTTATTGTGTATATTAAAAAAAAATTGTGAATTGCTAAACATTTTAATGAAATGTCGTTCGTCTTGTTTCAAAGAAGATACCATTTGAAGACAGTATCTTTTTTTTAATTTTAAGCAGTTGGGTAAAATGTAGATGTAACAAAAATAAACAAAGTGCTCCATTTCTTAAACAATTAAATTAGTGTAGTGTTTAGTCATATCTGATATATATCTTTTATTATCATACTTATTCACAAAATGAGTTATCTTTAAAGTTTGGTATGTTTAATTTTCGTTATGATTAGAATTGATAATCTTCTCAACAAGTTTAGGTCCAGGATAATCCATTGCTATGATTCCAAAACGTCCATGTTGTCCATTGATATATTCATAAAGCTTTGGATTGAGCCTTTTGGCAATACAGCATGGAGTACAAATGCTCAATGCAGTGCTATTGTAAGTTAGATATATTTGATTGTCCTTATTCTGTGAGAAAGCTGTTTCTAAATGAGTCTTTACAGCATTCCATTTTTCCGAAAATCTGTGAGCATTCCACAAATCTTCGGTATTCAGCCATTTCAGTGACCTATAGGGAAAGCCTATTGGTCTGCGCTCATCCTTAGCAATTGAAAAATCGTATAGAATTATGATTTTGCCTTTTGCTTGTCCAATGGTTGGAACCTTTTCTTCAGACCAAAGTTTTGCTTTGGAATTTTCTAGCGTTTCCCTAACTGCTTCAGAGAATGATTTGTCACTATGATATGATTTATATTCGTCTCTAACCCTTACAAGCAGAAATTCACTTGGATGCTTATCCAGGAAATCAGCCATGTCGGTTAAACACTGTGTAAATTGGAAATTCAAGTTAAACATATTCTGATAAATAAGCAAATCGTCTGTGTACAGACGACAACGTATATCGAAAAAACGAATGCCAATCTGAAGTTGGTCGCCTAATGATAGGCTTTGGCATACAACCCATGGAATTGCACTTGTACTTGCCATGCTTTCATGTGTTCCTGGTATTGAAATATCTGTTATAGACTTTGATTCATCTAAAGCTTTCATCCAATCAGTATGTGTTGAAGGAGGAGCATTAGTGGTATTCCAGAAGTCAGCACGTCTTGTCTTACAACAACAGTTTCCTAAACGTATGCATTAAATATATTAAAGTTATCTGGTAAGATTCGTTAAAGTGGGTTCTGCAGTTGCAATCTAAATCTCGTTTGTAAGCCAGAGAAATGCGAGGAAAGAAATGAAAATATTGGTTTTTATACATTTGTAAAAGGGTCACAAATCAACACATAAAAGTGTTAAGTACTTTATAAAACATGATTTCGCAAACTATTCTTCATCATTTTATTTTGTGTGCATATAATTAAAACACTTTTTTAACATATTAATTTATTTTAGATTGGCCGAATAAACTCACAAAGCGTCCCTCATGTTTCCGATGTATGGAGTATTTATCAATTTAATAAAAAAACTTCTTTATTACAAATTTCTTCTCTGACATCACTTTGGCAAATTGAACAGCAATTGTGTACCGTATTTAATAAATGTATAGTTTCAAAATTACATTCAATTTACGATTAATGGTATTGACAGTGGTACTAAAAAAAGAATATTGTAGTTCTGATTTAAATATAAATTTAGAATCAGCAATCTATAAACATATAAAATTTAAAAACAAAAATACTAGATTGAAGACCATCTTTGCTGTTAATATGATCAATCGCCCCAAATCTGAATAGGGCCACCTGCTTCCAAGTTTGAGAAATGATAAGTTTGTGATTCTTGATAACGTGTACTCTCATCGAATTAAATACATGCAAAAATTGTATGACAGTACATTCTGACTTTAAGTGTTTTCAATAACACAATTTACATCGGATATGGCATCCACTGTATTTAAAATTGGGACATGTGTGCTGTAAAATAGTATCCCTTTTACTACTCTGTAATTATCCCCCATTCTTCTTCCTACAATCATTTTATTTCGAACTGATCTCTTATCACTAAGTCTTGTTCTGTAAGTAACCCTGCAATTCTGTCATGCTTATAAAACAATTAGGAGCTACCAACCAACAGAATCCCCCATTCGGATTTGGAAGTTTATAATAACATTCCGAACAGTTAAACCAATGTGCCCATGTTTTTATTTCATTAACATCGAGTAATATATTGACATCAGCAACAGTAAAAGGAATGTGTAATTATCATATTATAAATTCATCAGGAGCAGTAAAACGAATTTGGCTGTGTATTACTACATCCCATACAGCCATACTGATTTCCGCAGCAAATTTTCAATAGATATAAGAAGATGTGGTATGAGTGCCAATGAGACAACTCTCCATCCAAGTCAAAATATATAAAAGTAAACCATTATAGCATGGTATCGCATTCAAACATACATACCCATCATAGATCAGGCAAAAAGTCTTGTTTTTCATGATTAATCCTACAAAAATTAAATAAAGAATGGTACTTATGAAATACATAGTAATTTTATTACAAATCCTTCTATTGCAATATAACTTATATTGGTCGAAAAAAGAAGGAGACAGCTGCAAAATAAAAATGGCGGGAAGAAAAAACAGTCCACAAAACACTACAAAAAATTAAAGACTAAGCAGCATGGACCCAGCTGCAATTAGACTGGAGGTCCTTCCTGGTGAACCCAGTCGCTTCAAAATGATCATCAGTTCCTGCTACACATGTCACACCAATCGTGCTTCTACTATTCAAATGTGTTAATGAAGATAATTGATAAAAAATAATCATACATTACAAAATCTGTAAACCCATTGGTAGATGTACTTATACATGACCACATATGAAAGTTAGAAACAAAAGTCACTTTTCTATCTGGACAAAAGATTGGCGAGACCATTCCGATAGAAATAACATAGACATTAACAAACTGAAATAGCACAAATATTAATCTTTAAAAAAAGATTAAGTTAATGCAACATGTGCAATATGAACCTCTTTCTAAAAAAAAACAAGGGCTGAACAACACAGGGCTAATGCGGTAATAAATATTAAAATGAGCAAAAGTTTAAAAAAATAAGTAACTCTAAAAAAAATTAAGATGAATAACATTTAAGGTATTGTGATAGTTAAACTGTTACACCACTGTCCCAGGTTAAGGGAGGGTTAAGCGCTCACAAACATGTTTAACCCCGCCACATTCTTTATGTGCCTGTCCCAAGTCAGGAGCCTGTAGTTCAGTGGTTGTCGTTGGTTCATGTCTGTCGTATTTGTTTCTCGTAAATTGTTTTGTTATAAATTAGACCGTTAGTTTTCTCAATTGAATTGTTTCATATTTTCATGTCAGAGCCTTTTATAGCCGACCATACGGTTTGGGTTTTTCTCCTTGTTGAAGGCCGTACGGTTTCCTTTAATTGCTTACATCCATTTCATTTGAACTTTGGTGGATAGTTGTCTCATTGGCAATCATACCACATCTCATTATTTTTATATAAATCATCTTAATATTATATATAGTAATTCAATTTAAATATCCCTACCTTTGTAACAGTATTTCCCGTGTGAATTACAGAAAACTGACTGCTGACTGACTTTAATTGTTTCTTTGTATATACTAGCATTCTGCACTCTGAAATATTAACTGTAATATTTTTAAATCGTGTAAGCTGATATTTAAAACACCGCTTTAGATGTAGGCATCTAATTTAACTATAAATATATACAAAGGTTTATTGTCATTTTGACAAAGAGTTGCTTTGCAATGTGGTTGAAAACAAATACATGTTTTGTGTACTTTTAAGAAATCGAACTAAATTTGGTTTTATTTTGTCATTGTATTGCCGTATCCTTGACGGTTATCTATATCTGAGGGTCTGGATGTGGTTTACAGAACAGAGAATAATGGGCAAAACATGCAGAATAAAGGGCCCAAAAATAAAGAATAGAGAATAATAGGGTGCTAAAATATAAAAGAATGTTTTAGGATAGTGTTTAAAATAAATAAAAGGTAGAGAAAAATTGTCTAAACAATTTATAAAGGATGAAGAAATTAAGGACCCCCTTCCAGACCTTCATATCTTCTTCGTTCTTATTGTAAAATGTTTAATCAAACTTGCATTAAAACATACGTAATCATAATTTTAGTTTATATGTGATTAAAACGTACAGATTTTGTTGCAATTGCATGTTTTAATTTTTGGTATTTTTAATTTTTTTGAAATTTTATTTCAAGTTGCAGACTTGAGTGGGTGCGTTAAGAACACATTTATTTTATAAAAAAAGACAAAGTAGAAGGCATTAGTCTACAGAACAGCAGTGGTGTTCGTCAATGTTCGACTTCAGTATGGACAAGAGGGGCTCGAATCAAAACAGTTGTAAGGCCAAATCAAATACGAAACTGAATAAACGACTGAAGATGATAGTTACGTTACTGGTCATTTTGCCGTGTATTTTTACTTATTTCTCCGTTAATCTAGAACGCATGTGGAAAATATAACAGCTCACATTCAAAACTAGTTATATATGAATTCATATTCCACAATTTTAAACAAATATCAAATAAATAAACAAATTTTCCAACATTTTCTGTGTCTGTAGGCGGTCCGTCGCCGTACTGGATATTAGATGAGGGTCTGGATGGGGTTAACAGAATATCACATTTCATGCATTTAATATATATATATATATAATTAACCACTAAAACAAATACTGATTGTAGACAGATTTAAGCCCGAGCACTGTCATGCTTTGTTGTTCTGTAGGTATGATGTTGTTGAAAAAAATGGATGCTTACTAGACATCAGCCTGATCTAGGTGGCTTATATTTTAACAACTATTTTCAATTTTGTGAAAAATGTCACATTTAATCCTAATATTTGTAATTTCAAACGTGAAATCCAGTTATTATTACACGGGATAACTTAAGCTAAAGGTCACGATATGAGTCGAGGGATGATACATGTATACACGCATAGCTCTTTAAACGTTATGTAAAAATCTACAATTTATTCCGTAATTAGTAATAAGCATTTCTAAAGACTACAAAACTCAGGGGAAAAAATGAATCGTTTTTAGTAATTCAAAAACGAAGACAGCCATTGATTCGAATCACGTTTCAATATACAAACTAACATTAAAGTCGAGTTATCTATCATGTCATTCTGACGACTCCGTCTTATAAATATCAGAGACTAAGACCAGTCTCCTTAAGATGGTACCAAACACCTTGACTTAAATTAATTTGGCTCGTTTAATTTTCATAAAATTTTGACCCTTTTTGACAAAAATATAAAAATTTCAAAATATTGAACCACAAACTTTATCGTAAAAACTTCATTGGGTATATAGCAGTTTGACAAACACTGATTTTGATCATTGAGATACTTACTATTTCATAAACAATAGAACGTGATTAAAACGTTCAGTTGATTTTTACAGAGTTATCTGCAGGTGTAGTGTTATGTACCACCTTAATATCAAACAATAAAGTTTATTTTAATTGAAATTTCGTATCAAAATAATTAATATCAAGGAAATACCAGAGATAATCTTGCAACGAAGTTGAATTATGCAAAATCTTTGTTGTCTTCCGTATATATGTTTGATTTGTGTATGTAATAAATGCAATTTGAAATTGTTTTCATATTTCACAATTACGCAAACGCTTATGTACTGTACTAGAAGTCCCCGGTAATATGTGTCCCAGGATTGGGAGGAGGGTATCATAGGCCCAGTAATAAATGTTTGATCTCTCAATGATAAATTAAGTACATTTTAATTGAAGCTCAGTTAATTTATTTAGAAAACTTTACAAAATTCAAATAATAACTCTTTCAGAATATACAAAGAAATAGAGGTATGAGAAATACGCCAATGAGACAGCAACCTATCGACATAATTCAAATTTAAACAAAAACAATGTAGTGTATTTTTGCGTTCTTGTCGAAGATATAGATTAGAAATTGACATTTAACTCAACAAAATCACTATACGGTATGCTTTGGTTTAGATTAAACTTATAATTCAGACCAATTTTGTTTTCTTTTCTTGATATAACTTTAACTTTTGTCGTACAGAAGTAGCTATATAGACATAAATTATGATTTATCATTTTGCACATATCTCAAGAATCTGAATTAAACGGTTTGTGTCAGTTAATTTAGTAAACACAAAATTATAACTTGGACATAATATATTGAGTACACTATATTCCCAGATTATAATAAATGTATGAAAATAAGAAGATGTGGTGGTATGATTGCCAAAGACAACTCTCAGATCTACCAGAGACCAAATGACGTAAAAGGTTAGCAACTATAGGCCACCGTACGGCCTTCAACAATAAGCAAAACGTCATACCGCATAGCAAGATATAAAAGGCCCCGAAATGACAAATGTTAAACAACTAAACGAGAAAACTAACGGCTTAATTTATGTGCAAACCAATAATCGAAAACAAATATAATATACAGCAACAAACGACAACCACTGATTTACAGGCTCTAGACTTTGGACAGGCACATACACATTGCGGCGGGGTAAAACATGTTTGTGGGCGCGCCAACCCTCTCCCTAAACTGGGACAATGGTGTAACAGTACAACATAGGAACAAACTATAAAAAATCAATTGAAAAGGGCTAAACTCATCAGATCGATACAAAGCAGAAAACCAAGTAACGAAAACACAGACCGGACGTGGTAGGGTAGATATACTTCCCCACAACAAAAAAGACACTAATCACAGATCTGAGAGTACTCGCAGTTACTGACAGCTAATTCAACGCCAATAACAACTAATAAGAAAATCATGTATCTAAAACTAAAATATCAATCATGCCCATCTAACTAACAATGGATTGAGTGTACAGTCAGAGAAAAAAACACGACCTTGTGCAATGCCAAAATATAGGTATAAACATATTGTAGGACCGTGAACATTAGAATGTACATATATATTTAACACTTATATTTATTGGGTTTGAATCTTTAGACAAAAATCCATATTTATACTGATAAAAACAATATTCAAAGATCTAATAACATTATATATATGATATGATAAACATATGTATAAGTTAGGATGTGCTAACCCGCTTGTAATAAGTTTTCTACAAGCACAGCCAAACTTCCATACTAAAATTTTGTATCTATGAAAGAATTAAGTTAAGGTTTTAAAAGTAATTTGTGGCAACGAGATCCTTGACTTCATTATTTACAAGTAATACATGATAGATTACGTTCATTGAAATCCAAAACGTTACTACAGACCCGGGTGTAGCGCAGAAGTTGGGATATATAATCACTTTAAGAAGGTGATAAAAGAACATCACCGTCCAAAAAAGGAAAATTAACAATATGGAACGAAAAATCGTTCCTTTTGTCGTATTTTTTTGTGTAGAGTTTCCCGGCGTGTTAAACTGAAATATCTAATGTATTGCTGTTTATATTTTATTTATTCAAGGTTTGGGTAGATTTCGGCAGTATATTTAGAGAATTCTTGATTATTTACAGAAAAATATCATCAATATAACGGTAAGTGATGTTGAATTTATCAATTAAATGGAATTTAGACGGTTCTTAATGTACAGAGATTGACCATCAACTGTGATTCATGTCAGTAAGGAACAAGTCTGCTATTAAAGGCACCGGGGTGCAGTCAGGTGCCCATAGGAAAACGCAAATAAAAGTAGATTAAAAGAAATATAAATATGAGACGATGATGTACATATAGTCAAAAAGGCAGTATTTGTTAACAGTCAGATCAAACTTTTTTTCAGAAAAAAAAATTCGCCTATACAGAAAAAAATCCAAGAATTCCTTGAAAAACAGTTAAGAATAATAATCATTATAATAATAATAAAAAAAAAAATATCGGTCGATTGTCTCGTTGAAGAGAACAAGTCAATTATTATGAGGTCTTTTATATGATTTAACTAGTATTAAAATTGCTGTATTTGATGAAGAAAAAAATGTACAAATTCAAAGAGATAAAACGAATTGCATATCACGTTGTACTATATATTTACGGTTTAATAACTGTATAGACAGATCTTTTAGGGTGACCTTATTTTCTGCAGTCAGGCCAGGCCTTGTTGGTGATAAGCATGCCTGTCATTAATTGTTCGATATTTTGTTTTACCAGCAGCCTTTCATATCACATAATTATTTATGTCCAATGTTAATATATTGGTGATCAACTGTTTCCCTGTATATATCTAACATACCAGGAAACAGAATATAAAAAAGCAAACAACTAACAAACAAACAGATTTCAATACATTAATCACGTGGTTAATAATGGTGAAATTCCTACGTATCTTCTTTCGTCATATAGTTAACCTGAAATGATCCACTTTTATTTCTTTTAAAATACCTGACGTACCTAGATAACTTACTGGATGTCGGGCATACTTAAGGTACAGGTCATGAGATTACATACAGATATTTATACTATATAAGCCTAAAATTTGACATTATCAAGCCGACAAGAACAAAAATGTTTCAATATAAATTATTTTTGTTACTATTTATTTTCCCGTTTCCAAGCCAAGGGGTTTCAACACAGAAAACGACACATTTGAAGACAAAAACAACAGCAGAGGTAAGTGAATATGTATGTGTACCATCGAGTGTTCGAAAAAGTTTATAGTATTCTTCAGAGTTTGGAGACCATTTGTTTCACTAAACATCTAATATAGATTATTCATGACATGCGACTTTATACAGTATTTCAGTTTCATTAAGCACCGACCATTCATCTTTTGTTTGTGTGAGAGAGGTAGCATGTTATTTTTGCATAAATTGCTTTATTCTAAATTTCATTAAGAAACTAGTTTGTTTCAGACGAAAAGTGAAAAAAATAGTTTGTATTCAATAGATATTAGTAACAAATAAATGCAACGTTGATTTGAACTAAATCCTTGTTCATCCATGTTATTGAAAAGAAATAGATTTTTTATTAAAGTTACAAAAACTGTTTGTAATGAGTAAAAAACATGCCCCTCCCTCTACCCCAAAATAATGATGAATGGTCATCGCTATGGTTAATATAGATTTTATTAGAACTATGATTACAGATTAAATTAAATTGATATACATTTGATATCAAAATATTTAATGACAAAGAAAGATTTGTTTGTGTCGTTGGGTTGTTGTCTTATTGACGTTTACCCCATTTTTTTTTTATTTACGCAAAAATGAAATTAAGACTATAAATTTTATGCGTCCGAAGCACAAGGGAAAAAACCTGAAAGCAAGGAACAACGCTTAGTATGCAGTTCATCGTCACCAAGCGTCAGTGTGGCATTCATGCAAAACAGTTCAAAAGCTCACAACGGACTGCAAATTCAAGACAATTTTTATATATCCGACTGGGAGCGCTCTGTCATTAATTAAAATGTTACTCAAAGGATTTTTTTTAGATAAATTATAAGCAACATTATAAATATGCAAGTTTCACTTAAAACATATTTAACTTATTAACTCTTTATTTTCATTAACATCAGCAACCAGATATTAGATGTAACATTAGAAAACCGGAGTGCCCTAATGGTTTTTGCTGTGCAAGAGATGAGTTTTTGCCGGAGTATACTATGTGTAAACATACTGGTAAAATAGAGTCTTCTTGTTCAACAGTAATTAATGAAGCCAAATGTCCGTGTGAAACTGGATTAGTTTGTGTTCCGAACGTTAACAGTGCAGATTTCGTATCGATTTACGGCAAATGCCAGAATAATATTACGACAACTCATTCAACTGTTGCAACTGTTGCAACAACAGTAAAAAGATCCACCACAATACTGACAACAACAACTAAAAAACAACACAAGGAACATAATCATCCCCCAATTATTCAGTTTCAAAGTTTAACCGTAAAAGTTTCTAAATTTTCTAACGTTGGACAACCATTTTCAAGATTTACTGTAAAGGATGATGACCAGGGTAAAAATGGAATAGTGCAATGTTCAGTGATACAACCGGGATTTTTTCGAATAGAAAAGGTTGATAGTCACTTATTTCAAGTTGTTGTAGCAACTTCATTAGAAAGTTTAACTCCACAACGTTTATCTACACTTATCATGTGCCAAGACAACGGAACTCCTCCATTGAATGGATTAATACAAGTTGCTGTAAACATTGTTTTTGAAAATTTAGCAATAGATACTACTAAATTACTTCCATCAACTTCCGTAACTATGAAAACATTAAACTCAAAATTAGGATCGATTTCGAGTAAAACTGAAACATCACAAACTGTGAACAACACACCAAGTACTGAGAATTCAAAAACATCATCTTCGCAAACTTCGGAAACCTCTACTGAGAGACCGATCCATTCTGATACATTTAATTAAAACACATGCGCAGTGAAAGACTTGTTCCCAAGTGACTTTGTGATCAGTGAAATTTACAAAACATACAATTTTGTGCAGTGATATATTCAGAAGTGACAACTATTGAACTACTTAAAGTGTTTTAACATTATTTATCACCCATCTTTGTTCTGAACAAATTACAAATGAACTTTAATAAAAGGCGTTCACATATTCTAAATGTTGACCTTTTTTAAAGTCGTCCTAGAACAAATGTACTAAACTATTTGATAAATTTACTCATGTCCTGAAAAAAAAACATTTCATGAAATTCATATTGTTATTTTATTTCTTAAAGTAAATGAACACAAGAGTCTGAGACATCAAACACCCATATGTTTTTGTACCTCGCCAGTCTTTTTTTTAAATCTTAATATTTTTGTTATGTTGATGTTGATGGTAGATAGGCCTTGTTAACATTATTCACGTCTTTTGTTCCATTCTACTTGGGTCGATTAAGAGCTTGACATATTGAATGTATAGACACTTAATCATTGGTTTTAAGACTGTATGTTGAACTTGTTGTGTCTTCGAGTTATTTGTCACATATTGAATCTGAGGTCGACAGTCTCCATATAATTCGCCGTTTCAGAATCTAATGCATTCTGGGTAATATTTTCAAAAGTGTACACCAAAACGTCGTGATTGGTTAAAAACGTCATAAACAATGGAAATTCAACTAATGACGTGACATTATTTTCATTTTGGGTACGAACAATGAAATTACCCATAGTCCGTTAGATTCTGAAACGGCCAATTGATGTACCGACCATAAGTCAAGTTCCAAATGTTTCGAATACAGCCGAGATGTTCATGAGTTATCAATAGCGACTACTGATAGTCTGCCATCAACATATAGTTCCTAAAATTGATAAAAAAAAAACAGTATGTATGAAATCAATGGCCAGTTCCTGGCTGGACAGACAAATAATATGGAAATGCAAAGTACATTGCTGCTGATAATAATGATAATTGTACAATCAACTAGGAAGATCTGCTGTATTGTTGTATCACGTTCAAATCTCTCAAATCAGTTTTCAGCATATTTCGAATTCCTCTTGATCTTTCAATACATAAAGAAACAGATTGATATGGTTGTATGCAAAATGTTACCATTAATTGCGATGTTCACGATTAAAGTCCTTATCAGCCTTCTCCTAATACATCCAAGTACTACATATAACTACTGGTATATTTCAATCTGAAATATGCAACCAAATATAAAGTTACCTCTATTACATGTACTGTGATAGAAGATCCTTTATGTTACAGATTGACGCATATCTTTTATACTGTTGAGTATACATGTATAATTAGATAGGGAAAGGGGAGTACATGTATATTATGTTTTTACAATTTCGGTTTCTTGAATTTCAAAAATCAATTATAAGCAATAAAAAATCTTTAAAAAAAAGAAGAATGCATTCATGAAAACAAAACGCAGAAGATTTTACCTAATAAGCAACACTTTCGACCAAAATATGGCTCAAGATGCATAAAAGAAGTCAAATTTGAAATTTAACGAAAAACTCAATGTGCAATATTCATTCTCATCATTTTACATTGTATTTTGTCTTACAGAGTAAATTTTCAATTACCATTTCCGTCAGATAAAATACAGTGTAAATTAATAAACTGTTGATTCATTATTATTCATGGCTACCATTTTTTTTATATATTTCGTGGGTACCGATGAACCCCGAATTTAAATGTTCAACGAATAACAAATTGTCTATAGGCTTGCATGCAGACTTTTGCAAAACAACGAAATCAAATATCCACGAAAATTGGTACCAACGAAAATAAATGAATTCACAGAAGAAAGGACGTTCAGAAAATGGGACAACAGAGAACGGTACCTGATTCTATATAACTTATAAACTGTGTAAGCTGAAATAATGTGTTTATTGACATCTTCAGTCAAACTGACTTTATTGTAGATCACCTGTTGCTAATTACTTTTTAGGTGTACAGTTAACGTTTCTATTAGTCGATTACTGTTTTAAGATAATAGGTAAAACACTAAAATTGATACCCCATGGGTTGATTGGCGTATAGAAATATGGTCACTCTTTATATTTCTCCTGTACGACAGAAAAATCCTTGCAAGAGTAAGGCGTCTAATTAGCTGTCTGGGAAGGAAAAATACGCGGTTACGTCCGTTCGGAATTAAGACGTTAAATCAAATGGCTCGTGTAAAGGGATGGCCGCTTCCAATGTGAGTCATAATTTCCCTTCATCCCTGTAGGCTTTTACATATTTCATTGATTGTAAATTTGTTTTTGTCAAAAGTATATATGAAATATTTGTCACTGAACGTTAAGCAAACAACAATTAATCGTCAATCAATCACTTAAATTGATCAAATTTTCATATGACAGTAATTACTCTAACAATTAAGGAGTAAATATACCATTTGTATATCTTTCTCTGCTGACTATTTTTGTTGTTTACAGTTTCTATTTATTAGGTTAAGAAAAACGCAAAAAATGTTAAAAGTCGATATTTAGGAACAATAACTCCTACGTATTGAACTGGGCAGTATCTCGGATTTTTTTTTTGCGTTTAGAACTCGTTGAACTTCATCAGAATATATATATGTCAGCAGGGTTTAAGAACATTTGTTGTTCGACCTGTTAGTCAAATGCGTTTTGTTAAAATATACTTTTTCACTTTTTTGGTCTTTTGGAAAATGTTGTTTGTGCTGTATTTAGACCCCTCTAACAAGAAATTTGTTTTACATGTACACGTATAAAAATTGCGGTTTTATCCAACGCAATCATAGGTTTGAACGTTGTTTTCAATTTAGACTTGTTTATATTTTTTCGTTTGGGCTTGTATTATGTTTGCCTTCGGGTTTATATGATCCGTTCATCCTATTTTTACTCCTCAAAATTCAAGAGTATCCTAAATTGAGGTAAATTGTATGGCTTTCCAAATACCGTTTCGATTCCTAACATCACTGAAGAGACATTAATTGTCGAAATCCGGATATGGTGTACAAAAACCTTTGCACCTTTTGTTTGCGGTATATCATCTTTTCCGCAAGTTTATTGTTTTCTGTTTAGTATTAAATTTATAATTAAGATCCATTTATTATATCGGTGATCCGTTTATTTGGCAATCGCCAATGGCAGTCAGCAGGGTTTAAGAACATTTGTTGTTCGACCTGTTAGTCAAATGCGTTTTGTTAAAATATACTTTCTCACTTTTTTGGTGTTTTGGAAAATGTTGTTTGTGCTGTATTTAGACCCCTCTAACCTCTAACAAGAAATTTATTTTGCATGCACACGTATAAAAATTGCGGTTTTTATCCAACGCAATCAAAGAACGTTGTTTTCAATTTAGACTTGTTTATATATATATAAATGATATATGCAGCAATTTGTACGTTAATAGATACAATCAATTAAAAATATGTCAAATAGATCACTGACTTTTCTGTCAATGATCTATATTTAACATATCTTTAATTGATTGCATCCATTGACGTACAATCTTTTTTTAACAGACATGCACACATTAGTTTCATAAATTTACTATCTATAGGTATAAATCAATCATACTAATGTGTGCATGTCTGTTAAAAAACATTGTACGCCAATGGATACAATCAAAAAGATATGTTAAATAGATCATTGACTTTTCTGTCTGTTTTCTTTTTAATTATGATGACCGCCGTCAAAATTATATGATATATTTGGTGCGATCGATGCACTTCATGGAGGACGTTCAATCCCAAATTTATGAAAGCCAATTGTATTTTTTTTTTTCGTAGAGACTTGGGGTTTGTCCCTGTTCTATAGTTATTCTACAATGTATGTATATATTCTAAAAGAAACTGGTTATAGAAGTTGTATAACGGGTTCTTGTTTTGGGGTAAAAATAGAGTTGGAAATATATGCACGTGAAATGCTTTAGCGGTTTAGAAGGTGGGGTTCCGGTATATTATATAAAGACATTGTCTGGGTGTCATTTCATCGAACGGTGCTCACAGTAACAGTCAGTCAGTCAGTTCGCCATTTATTTCCACATATTAAGATTTGGTTATAATATTTAGTTTGATTTCAGTTCATTTAAATGTATTTGACATTTTGTTTGTTGTATGAAAAATTTGAATATTGTTGTTTTATAATCTTTTTGTATTGTGACATTAACATAGCATTGCGTTCAATTTTTTTTTTTTTGCTTATCTAATAGACTATGTACCATTATTTCAACATCTTGATGCATTTATTAAACTAAAACACATTCTAAACCCCCCTCTCCCCACCCAACCCCCTGAACTTGTTTGTCATATTGGAGTCTAAGTCTCATTAAGCAGTCTTTAGAACTGAAGGGGTCAGACCCATGTCAGACAAGTTTATGATTGTGTTTTTACATAAATTTGTAAATTGAACTCTTCCTTAAAATATTTTCTATTGCATTGTATTGTATTTAAATGTATCATTTTTTGTATGTATTGCTTGACCCTTATGGGTGTAATTTTGCAATAAAGATTTATTTTTTTATTATTAATAAGATGGATTATAATGTTATTAAACATTGTTTGCTAAAACAAAGAAAAGAAGTTACTGCGAGCAAATCTATACCTAGAGTTTTGTTTTATTTATCATACCAAGGATTTTAGCTAAGAATTGTTTTAAATTCGGACGAGCATGGCGAGGGAGAATTTAATGATTTATAAATTCTTTAATAATTAAGGAGCTGTATCACCAAAGGGACTTTAATAAATATCGTTACAATTGTTTGTTTCTGTATTTCCTCCGATAACGAATGTTTACCAATTCATTATTACGAAAACAATCGTCATCGAATACGGCTGTCATCATAATTGAAAAGTAAACAAACAGAAAAGACAATGAGAAACGCCTTTAAATAATGTGACATGCGTACTTCTTGTTTATCAGAAAGTAATTATATATCTGACCCAGTTTAACAATAACTTAATCCACTTTCAAATGGTTTTAACCGTCACAACAAATAGAGATAAATTGACATAATGCCCATGAAAATAATCTAAACATAACCTTTGCTTCCAAACTAAAGGAGACTAAAACGACTTGTTTTAGCTGGCGAGTAGCTGTTTTTTTATAATTTTTTGGCTGGCTCTTTTTACATTTTTTTAGCAGGCGAGTAGCTGTTTTTATATTATGTATATTAAGTTATTACAT